TTTTTGGGTCAAAAATTGTTTGTTGGTCAAATTGCAGTTAATCTAAGTTATTAATTTCAAACCCTCTTAATACTTTTAACATAAATTTACAAGGAACATTTATTATTTCACATCATCCAGGAAAAAAGGTAAAAGTTAAAGACTGGAAGCAGCTTGTGGAGCAGAGACCAATGATCAACGACATCCAAAACGATGGCCAGCCCAGTTTCAGGAGAGTGAAGTAAGTAAATTTGTAATTGTATTTACAGCATCTTTCCCCCAAAATGGATATTGTCCAGATATTTAACAAATGTTTTTTTCTTGTGTTTCAAAATTTTCAGGTGAATGCTGAGTTTCAACGCATCACATCTAAACCTCTACAAACAAAGTTCCTTTCTCGGTTTGACCTCTTTTCCAACAAATTTATAAAGATTTTGGACAGCAAAGGCGGCGTGAAGGGGCAAAAGATCAAGGCCATCTTTGCCAGAAAGGATTCAGTCAGTACACATGCATTCTGTATCATTCTGTATATCTCTTCTATGTTGGAGCTTTGTTTTAAAGATTTTATATCACCACCACTCATACATATGCAATTCATTTTGAAGTGCCTTTCATCAACAATATATATAAATTCACACAACATGGTTCAATATTTTTGTAATTTTTTTATTACCTCATAAAAAATCTTCTCACTTCACTAATATCACAAGCAGAATTGGTTTTAATTCTTTCTATTTTTGMTGCTCTGTTCCAGGAATCTATCAACGCTACGAGGGAATTCATCCTCGGAAGTCTTGTCATCTACCCCAGTGAAGACCCTGACTCATTCTTCAAAAAATACCTGGTAAGTTTATTACAATGTTTCTATATTGTCACCAAAAATGTGTTTGTAATTATTACTTGTATGACATTGATGTGAAGTTATTGTTTCCTAATAAAATTCAATGTAAACAATCCTGTTCTGATAACTTTTTAATTTGATTGAAGCTATTGTTTGAAAAGCAGGGTTAAACTTGGTATTTATTCTTCAATATGTTGTACCACATTCTATTATTATACTATGCAAGATATTTGTGGTGTTTTTGTGTACGTGTATAAGTCCTGCTGTTTGCATATATACTAAAGACTTCATTTTTGCCTCATAGAGCACAAGAAACTGATGTTGAGGCAAAGTGCGCAACAAACAAATTTTTATCCATGCATCCATCCATCCATCCATCCATCCATCCATCCATCCATCCATCCATCCATCCATCCATCCATCCATCCATCCATCATTTTCCACTTTATCCAGTTTTTATGTAAATCTAAAACAGAGCAAGGGAACAACAGCCTATGTT